TGCGTCCTTTAAGAGAGATAGTCCTTTAATAGTTTTACCTCTGATTCCAATCCGTTCTAATTTATTGATAAGTATAGGGATTGATACAGTATTAAAGGCTTTTTTTTAAATCCAGGAAGACAGCAAGACATTTTTTACCGTTATCTAAGGTATTATCAATTTGAGAGCTCAACGCAGCAACTGCATCTTCCGTGGAGCATCCCTTTCTAAAGCCAAATTGAGAGTCTGCTAGAATGTCAAATTTAGAGAGATATTCTATAAGTCTGTTGTTAATTAACTTTTCCAAAAATCTTAGAGAACACAGGTAGCAAGGAGATTGGTCGATAATTACTAGCTTCTTTCTTATCTCCACTTTTGTAAATCGGAATTACAATAGATCGCTTCAACAGCTTCGGAAAGACACCTTTTTCAAAATAGATATTAGCAAAATGGCAGAAGATGGGGACAAGTAATTGTTTAGCCATCTTGAGAAAACCCATTGAAATATTGTCCCACCCAGGGGCGGAATCTGATTTGAGACCTGAAATAATACTATTTTCTCTTCCGGATAGGTTTCCATCATTACAAAGGAAGAATGTGCCTTTACAGATAAAGTTTCATGTACTTGATCAATATGGCAAAAAGATAAACAAATATTAGGATTCTTAGTATTTATGTTCTCGGCAAGATTTTTACCCACACTAGCAAAGTACTCGTTTACTTTATCAATCGAATCACCCGGTGAGGATTTCGTACTTAATAAGTCCAAACTATTAACACGTGATTGTTTTCTATAAGTTATGTCTTTTATGTGCTTCCAGAGAGATTTAGTTGATATTGCTAGAAGTTTCCTTTCATATTCTCGTTTAAGTTTCTTCATCAATTTAGTAACATAGTTGCGATACCTTTTATATGTAATTTTTAATACTTCATTATAAGGATCCGATCTTAGCTTTTTTTGCATACAATTCCTATTTCGTATACATTTTAAAATACCTGTAGTTATCCATGGTTTAATTTTTCGCTTCTTACTAGGAATATTTACTATTTTTGTATTTTCTTCAATTGATTCTCTTATTTTATAAATTAATTGATATATAATATAGTCTGGATTATCACTAAAAAGAAGGTGCGATAGGTTTTTTTGAGCTAGACTGGCAAGTGCTTTATGAAAGTCAGTGTTATATTTAATTTTAACATTAATTGCGTTTTGTTTAATATTACTTAATTTTAGTATGCATGCATACTAAATTTATATATGCATATAAATTTAGTATGGATGGATGCAGGTGGCTCAGGACCGTGCTTTGTGGCATTCTTTGGGGGAGGCCTATGTTCAGCAGTGGACTTGTGAAGGGCTGTAATGATTAGTAATATCATAGCATGATCTGTGATAGTAGTATTTAATACAGCAACCTGAGCAAAAATAGTTTGTTGATTTAATTTAATATAAAATGATCCAAGCAGCTGTTCTCTCTTGTAGGGATATGATGTCCCGGTAATAGCCCATACGTAGAAAGCATATTTAAGTAGTTCGACCTATACATTATTTCATATGTTTGTTCTGTAAGTCTAGGTGTTATATTTACATTAATATCTCCTGTTATTACAATATTTGAATGTTTTTTTAACGAGTCCAAATGTTCACTAAGAGAACTGATGAATTGCTCTGCATTGGTATTAGATGGTGACCTATATATGCCCAGTATTACTAAGTTTTGTAGTTGGATTTGTATGCAAGATGCATGTACCAAATTTATTTCTTTAACATGAGATGAAATATTTTTTTTAATATAAATCACTACTCCGTTATTTTGATTTACGTGATAATAAGTGTTATAAACATGGTAGTTTTCTGGACATGGAATAGGTTTAATAGATTGAATCCTACATTCTGTTAATATTAATATGTCTGCATTAACTTGCAGAGACGTTAATGTCAGTTGAAAATCTTCATAATTTGAATAAATACTTCTTATATTCTGGGATACAATTGTGAAGTCTGTATTTCTAAATTTTAAATATTTGTTTAAATCTTCTACATCATATTGATATGCACAAGCTATCTCTATATTGTCTAATTCTTCTAAATTATTGAAAATATTTTTATCCATATACATTATTATTAAAGACTAACGGCCAAGATCGAATGTTACAAATGTTCATAATACTTTGATGTAAGCGTGGGACAAAGTTTGCTATATATAATTTTGTACGTAATTGAAGTGTGTTTATAAAATTTGTAATTTTATATTTATAATATTGTAGTTTAGGTATGTGTTTTACTAGAAATATTGTAAATTGTAATTTTTGTAAATAAAACAAGCACAAAAATACTTGCGGTACGAACTTAGTAACCCATTAAATAATTTTAAGTACATAATAAACTTTTGAATATAAAATACTTTATTTTCAGTTTTATTGTTGTATGAGAGATGATTCGAAGCTAAAAATACTGTAATAAATGTATATAGTTTTTGTATGTATGACTGTGAATTAAGAGTTCCACTTTATTGTCGTATAATAGATAATTTGAAGCTAAAAATACTGTAATAAATGTATATAGTTTTTGAATGTGTGACTGTATATTACGTGTATGCATTGAGAGTTCAGTTTTATTTTTGTATGAGAGATAATTTGAGGCTATAAATACTGTAAAAAAATTATATAATTTTTATACGTATAACTGTGTGTTAAGTATGTAAATTAAGAATCTGTGTTCATTTTGACTATTTACAATGATGCTTAATGCTAACAATGCAGTGCTTACAGTTATTTTGTACAGTATTATATTAATCCGAGTAATAAACACAGACACAAAAAACATAACCATACCAAGAAAGAGTCATGCTTGCAATAGACTCTGTACTTGAGATTCGTTTAAGATCGTAACAATAGGAGAATCATCGTGTTTTCTGACATACACTTTACCATAGGCAGTCCAGCAATATTTATACTCCTTTGTTTTTGAAAGGTCTCTGGCTAGAAAATACAAGCGGGAAGCCTTTCTCGTTAGATGTTCAGCTACGTAAATTGGTGTATCCCCTGCAGAGCGTAGGCTCAGGTGTTTGGCGCAGAGCTTCATTTTGTTATATTTTTGTGTTAATTCTTACACATTTTTAATAATTCCGTTTTTATGAGGGTAGATGTACTTTCTACAATAATCGGGGTATTCATGCTTTTTTCTTTTTTAGGACGAGTTCTATAAATATCTTTTATGTTGGATTTGGCGAGTCTGCAGCCTACTTCGTTAGCAAGGCATATCACCATATTTACCAGCGTTTCCTTTGTTTCCTCTTTTTGTCTAGGCACATTTTTAATCTCCAAGCTTGATTTTCGGGAGTCTTTTTGAAGATCTTCAATTTAGTTCTCTAATAGAGTAATATATTTTTTCTCTTCTTTTGCTTGTGATTCTAATGACTGTATTTTCTTCTTAAATTCCTCATTTTGGGCCGCGAGAAAGGCGATAGATTTCTCAATATTTAAGTTAGTTTCTTGTATAGTTCTCTGAGAAGCGGATATATTTTGAAGTTCTTTTTTTGTGAGGAAAATAATTCAGTTATCATCTTTTTCATTTCGGCCTTAATGTTGTTGATATGCTTTAGATTTCCTGGAACGTCGGTGCTTCACATCAACGATATAGTCTAACATCTTTTACGAATGTTTTTATAAACTTTCAGCCAAAGATGCGTAAAAAAACCCAACGTAAAAAAGTTAAAATTAAACGTGATAAAATCCGTAACATTAGTTTTATTCCATGTGTAGTATACATCATTATAGAACATCGTTTATGCAATTTTGAAATCTACTCGAATGTAAAACAAATATATACACCTATTTTATGGTGCCAATCAATATTAATTAGGACCAATGATATGAATAAAATATCTCATTGATAGATCATGAAATTGATCATTATTTTGTTAAAACTAAATTAATTTTAATTATGAATGAATGAAAATAGTAAAATGTAAATAATAATAATAAATTTTGATTTTAAGAAAATTTACCTTTCTTATGTATACATTTACACGGAAGACACGCGCGATATAAAAAATGGTAGGCGTTTCTGTAGACATATATACTCACGTGTTCCTGTAGCATATTGTTGCGCGCCACTATTAATGCCTTGTACATAGCAACACTAGTTACCACTAGCGCCCTCTAGTAACGAGTAGCAGAACTAGGAGTCAAGATCCTTCTAGAAATTTCGGGACTGATATGTACTCGAACATACTAGATGTTTCTACAGTAGAAGGTTCTGGAAACTATCTGAGGCCCTATATAAGGCCGGTATAGACCACGACCGAGTGAGTATTGAATTGGCGATACAAGCGAATACTTCGAAGCGAAATAACTGCGAACTAAAGTGATTGTGTTTTATTATTAGTTTGGTTTTAAGTTTTAATTAGTGTTTTATCTCGTAACAATATTATATATATGTCAAATACCAATCATCATTCATCATCATCATTACAGCCTTTCATAAGTCCACTGCTGAACATAGGCCTCCCCCAAGGAATGTCACAAAGCACGGTCCTGAGCCACCTGCATGTCTTACTAGGTCGTCACTCTATCTCGTGGGGGGTCGCCCTACACTTCGCCTACCGGTACGAGACTGCCACTCAAAAACCTTTCTTCCCCATCGGTTGTCGGTTCTTCAAGCTATATGACCGGCCCACTGCCACTTCAGCTTACTAATCCGTTGGGCTATGTCGGTTACTCTGGTTCTACTGCGGATATACTCATTTCTAAGTTTATCACACAGAGAAACCCCGAGCATAGCCCTCTCCATAGCTCGCTGAGCGACCTTGAGCTTCCAATCAATACTCCAATCACCTACGTCTTATAGTCTTTTAGAGTATCTTCGACAGAGATTAAGACACAGACACCGATGGAACTCTAAAAGTAATCGAAATTTGCTAAATTTGGCACGGAACAGCATTTAATAATGTTCCTAATTCATGCTCACGTGAACACAGCCGCGGGTAAAAAGCTAGTAGGAAAATAAAACTTTAATTCTCGCCAAAAAGGTTTATTTCATTGAATTACATATTTTAATTGTCTTAAGACTCGGACACATACAAAACACGCACACTAACAAAAGTAGAAATAAATAAATAAATAAATAACACGTAGATTCTGGTTGATTACATCAGGTACAGTCAGCAAAAGAACGCGGGTTAGCTTATATTATTACTAATGATTATACAACAGCTAGGTTAGTTACAATTTGCACCTATGGTAAAACAACATACAACATACCGGAACATAAGCATAACAGAAATAGGAAATATACGCATACTGCACGAATATAAACGTTAGAAATGAAAATAAGATTCGGTTAGGTCTAACGCTTTTACAATATGCATAATTTATTACGTATCAATTTACTTCACGTCACTGCATTAACGGACACAACTATACTAACTGTATACACATATTAGAAGAACCAAAATATACAAATTCACAAACACACATAGTCACACACAAAATATCTAAGATTCAATCAATTTGTAAAAAAGTAAACATTTGCAAAATCCAATAGGTACAAAATTTAGTAAACACTTACATGATAATTGTAAATGTTAAAATGTCACTTATAAAAATACACACACGCACTGACCAAATCACTGGTAGTATTTATCATTATCATTACTAGCTATCATTTTGAGTAATTTTTAATATTATTAAAGAGTTCCTAAAATAATAATTTAAGTTTTATAATATGTACTAAGATCTAATTGATTTCAAATAGAATCACACTTATATTCATAAAACTCGAAAAGTTCATGAACCTTTATTATATGTATGCATATATCATAATATGTTGTGACTATATGATAATTTAAGTTTTTAGTTTTTCTTTATTATAGTTTTTTTAATATTGTTTGATGTGTTATATCATGTGTGTGAAACTAACGTAGGAGATATTGCGTTACATAATTTTAATGAACCGCCGTAATTTAAGACGCCGTCTTTTTTTGACAGGTTTATATAATAGTGTAATATAATGTACATACTATAATGACAAATTATGTTTTTTTAATTTCCTGAGCACAAAAAAATGTCAGGCTTAAAGTTGTCTTATAATTTAAATTACAAAAAATTATTTGATACAATACAACTATTATAATGCATACAAAATATTTTTGCTGATCGTACTTCTCAATATAAGTCTCATTGAAATTGTTTAAAAATTGGCGTAATATTGATCGTATAAAAACCTTAAAATACACATAAAATGTAAATTTAAATAATTTTCGTACAAAATGAGGCACTTAATTTTCAGTACATTAAAAAATATTCGAGAATAGGAATTTACTACATACACTAAATACTTTATATCGAACATCGATAGTCATCTAAGTGTAAATTACAACAGAGAGCACTCAAAATTACAATGGCACTACGCTATGCATATTTGATATCTTTATTTCTTTGAATTAAACTGAGTTTACGGATTTTATTGCGTTCAATTTTCTTTTACTTACTACTTTACTTATTTTAACCCGACGTTTCAAGTGTTTTGCATCATTCATGATCACAAGGAGATTTTTTATTTTTATTTTTATGAGGTAAATGGGCATTCGATTCACCTGATTGTAAGTGACTACGGCCGCCCATGAACTACTGCAATACCAGAGGAATTGCAAATGCGTTGTCGGCCTTTTTAAAAGTAGTAGACTGAAAATAATTTAGAGTAAAATGCGATAAAAGCCCTACAACAAAGTTTCATTCAAGGTGTAGTATTCACATAAATGTAAGAAATTAAATTTTTTTAGTTAGCAATTATAATAAAATTGTCAGCAAGTCTTGACAGAAAATTATCACCGTACAATCACACTGTCCATTTTAAACATTAAGTTATACACTTATAGAATGGGCCTACACGCACTTCACAAATGCCATGCGGGGAATGTTTGTTTAAGGATTTCAGTATCGATAGATTGCAGCATACCTATTTAGATCTGTTTAAATACGATTTTTATGTTTAAATATAAGACATTGTCACACACTAATAATTTTACGATTTATGTTCTAATAAAACGCATTTTATTTTCTTCAAAACTTTAAAGTCCTAAATAGTTTAAGTTAAAAAATAAAATATTTTATACAATTGTTGAAATAAAACTGTCTTCTGATAATATTGATACAACATTTCGGAAAGAGAGCGACGATTACATAACTTCCTAAATTTTTCAGATCGAAAAGCCATACTAGCTTACTGTCTGCTCGGGTATCAGATGTCAGATGTAAGTAGGACTCCGAGGTTTTTTTTATCTGTAAAAATATAAACAGATGAAGAAAACATTAAAAATAATTCAAAATTATTGGAATGGAATAATATTTTGTGTATTTGAGCCTTTATTAACAGCCTCACACTATAGTCAGTCGTCATTAAAATATAGTAATTTACTACTAAAATTAATAAGTAACAAAAAATTTTTTATTGTCATTTAGTTACTTTGGTTTTATATATTATGGCAGCTGCTGTGAGTGGTATCAGGTGTGGAGTTAAAAATTGTTTTGATACGTGACAGCCGCGGTGTGAGATGTAAAAAAAAATTATGTCGCTAGGTTTTTCATAGGGGTCAGCCGCGGTGCGAAGTATGAAGTTAAAAAAATTTTGTGTTTTTTATGAGCAATTGTGAAAGGAGTAAAATAAAAAAAAAATATTTATTAGGTTCTGATACATGACAGCTGGTGGGCGTGTGATGTTAAAAAAATTAATGTCATTTGCTAGGTTCCAATACAAGTAAACTGTGGTGCTAGGAGTAAGAGAGCAAGGAGTACTTTTTCTATTTCGGCGTATAGTTAACATATCCCGAAATAAAATAAGTAAAAATAGAATAACTATATTTTTTTTCAATACCGTATGCTTTATATTTCAATAATAGTTATATTATTTTCTAATTAAAATAAATAGCGGCAGCTGCAACTGTTTCAACGTCCATTTCGGGTAGATGACAATACAAATATGTGGAATGCACGATTTTGTGGGCAGCCGCGCAATGATTGTGACAATCATGGCCCATTTTGTGGTTGTCAATTATGGTCGATGGTGTATAGGTCCCATGAGATGTGAGTTGCAAGGAAATTTTGTTTTTATTCGGGGCAGTCGGGGTGCGAGATATGAAGTTGAAAAAATTATGTCGCTTACTACTTTCTGATACTGGACAGTTGGAATAAAATCAAAAATAAATATATATAGGAGAGTTGAGGTAAGAGCTGTGATATGTGAAGTTTAGTAGATTATAATAATAATAAGGTTGTTAGGCGACGTAGAGTGCGGGCGGCACCACTGTGCCGCATTATGTATGTCACTTATGTACGGTTTAATTACGAGTGATGAGCGTGACGGGTGTGGTTGCCGCGTAGTGTATTACTTATTACGTTTTGGTACTGATGCAGTCGTGGTGCGAGATGTGTGTCACTCACCTGGTTCATTCAGTGGATAGGCAGGCATGAGGCACGAGGCACGGGGCATGGCACGCAGGGCTGGGTTAGGAGTAGAAGGTGAGCACGGCGGCGTGGTTGCCGCGCACGAGCAGCACGCGGTGCGCGGCGGAGGCGAGCGCGGCCAGCCAGGCCACGTAGAGCGCGGGCGGCACCACGGCGCGGCGCCGCGGCATGGGCTGCGTCACGCACACCAGGCGCGCGCCCGCCGACTGCGCGCCGATCAGCTCGCGCAGCCGCAGGTGCCGCCACGTGCGCTCGCGCGCCGCCACCAGGTCCGCCTCCGTGATGCCCGCTGACACAGTAATAAAAAATAAACATCATTTTTTTATAGCATAAGGGTGAAAAGCAAGCACACAGTCCACCTAACGGTAAGTGGTTGCTGCAACCCATAGACATCTACATCTATCCTCGACTACGAATCAAAATGCAGATGCGTCGTCGTCCATGAGGACTAAGATAAAATACCTCGTTTCCAGTGGTTTCCAAAATGGTCTCCAATTCTCTACGCTCACCGTACAACACACAGCAATATTAAGCTGCTATTTTACACTGATATTGTATTAGAGCGTAGTTGATAGAGCCAAGTCATTCGTGCCACAACTATACCAGTAATTTAGCTGCAGCATAACTCTACCACGTATAAAATATGGTAGAGCCATGCTGCAGCGTGAATTTAATGACACCCTTTCAAACAAACCCTTTCTATCGATCCGAGGCAGTTCAATGGCATAGAAAATCAAAGTTAGGTAAAGCCCTTTCCAACGTCGCCAAGATCGTTCAAATCCGTCAAGCCGTTCAAAAGTTATGAGAAGTTTACACACATGCACACACAAACACAAATACATACAGATATAGTGACATCCTTGTAAAAATATCTAGGCTAATCGTAGACTATCCTGATTGATAACTTCCTATGACCTCGAAACGTCAAAATCTAATAAAACCAAGATTTTCAAAAACTACAATGATACAAATAACTCCCCATTTTTTTTTGAAAACATTGATTTTCATAACAGAAGTTTAATAAAACATAAGTTTATTTTATTATAATTTTTAGCTTAAATACTTGTACCCATGTCTTCACTTCTCTCAATATCAAATGTTAATAATACTTTATAATACACTGCTCCACAATATGTTGATACGGCACATTGCGTAATTTTTAGGAGATTTTAACGGCAACTTGAGCCAACAGATAGTTGACAACAATATCTCAAGGTGCCTAAACAGAGAGACACCTTTTCTTAGGATTGACATCACCATCGGAGCACTTGTTTCACCGTTTCCAATAGTTCACATGTGCAGACATTTAATGCACAACTTTTCATATCAAAATCCACATCAAACCATTATTTGAACAATATACAGGATAATAATACAGGAACAGTAATCCGCCACCAATCAAATTTCCGCCAAAACCTCAAAAACACATAAAATTACTTTGTATTAACACCATCTAGCAAGATCTTAAACACAATTAGTTTATTTTAAATCAGTAATTTTATTTTTTATTTTTATTTTATTATCTTCAGGACAACAAACAATTGTGTAATAAAACATAATACAAAATACAGGTCTTATAAAAAGGGAAATACAAGTAATTACACAACCAGCACCGTTATCCACAAAGTAATATCACAATAAAAGTAATATAATAATGCACAGCAAACACGTTGTATGATACCACAAAAGATGAATAATTCAAGCGTTCCCTGAGCAAATCCCAGCCAACACAACCACTGTAGTGGCTATGCTAGCCAAAACTTGCCTCGAGAAACAACAGTTAAACCATTAATAAACTGTTTAAACCATAAGGCAATACTTTACTTAGTAGTAATTTTTTTTAAAATACACTTTTTGAACATTACAAATGATAAAGCAAATATGTCAAGATCAGTAAAGTTATCATTATATGATTTCATGATACGCCGTAGTGGAGCTCTCTCTCCCGCGTTTGTTCGGCACATCTTAGGAGCAAATAAGCGATGACTATACGTATTACGAATACGTTGGGACCGACTAGGTATGCGTAGATATATTTGATTTATGAGTTGATTACAATCTAATTTATTATGACAGATTTTGTATAAGAATAACTGATCGAAATATGATGACCATTTCTTAAAGCATTTATAGTTTAAAAACCGAAGATATTTACGTTGTACCAATTCCAGCTGATCACTATATTTTTCATAATAAGGGTTCCAAACACAAGTGGCGTATTCGAGTTGTGGCCTAATGAGTGCCTTATATAGTAACAAATACGTCGCAGGCCTTTTAAACAGATTACAGGACCTTCTTACGAAAGCACTAAGCTGAAAGCCTTTAGCCGTAATGTGACTAATAGGAGCATCAAAATGTAGCTTCGAGTCAAATAGTATTCCCAGGTCTTTTATTATGGAGACTTTTTGTAAGGGAGTGTTACAAAGAGAGTATGTGAAATGGATGACATTAATATTTTTAGTAAATGTGATAGATTTACATTTTGATAAACTCAGCTGTAAATTATTAGCAGCACAATAAGCAGACAAACGATCCAGATCACTTTGCAATTTATAACAATCTTCAGTTGTGTTTATTTTCCGAAATATTTTAAGGTCGTCAGCATATAATAGAAAATGGGTGTTTTTGAAGCAGGTACTAATGTCATTTATGAAGAGAACGAAAAGCAAAGGCCCCAAAATTGATCCCTGCGGTACATCAGATGTCACATCTATCACATCTGAAGAAAAGCCATTGACCACAACCTTTTGGGTTCTATTTTTTACATAAGAAGCAAACCAGCGTAACAAATTCCCACGTATACCATTAAATGCGATTTTTTGTAGTAGTATGGTATGGTCCACCTTGTCAAAAGCTTTACAGAAATCAGTGTAAATGGTATCAACTTGGAGTCGGTTATCCATATTTTCAAATAAGAAGTTAGCGTATAAAGCCAAATTACTTACCGTGGAGCGATTTCGGACAAAACAATGTTGTTCAGGAATAATAAAACTATGCAGATATGGATAGACAGCATTGTGGACCAATCTTTCCAGCACTTTTGACAACGTGGACAAAATAGATATTGGACGATAGTTGGTGATGTCATTTTTTTGGCCATTTTTATACACAGGTGTGATGTTTGCCGATTTCCATGCCTGCGGTACTACTCCCTCCCTCAAACTGCGATTAAATAAAATAAACAATGGTCCACTAATGGATTCGGCGGTATATTTTAGAAAAAAGGGCGAGATACCATCTAGTCCAGATCCCTTTGTCACGTCCAAGCCTTTAAGAATCTTTATTATCTCATCTTTTGAGAATGTTAAGTCACATATAGTTACTTGACTATTTGAGTTAGAACTAATTACAATATCATTAGGCTGATTTATGTATTTACTATTTTCGTACACTGAACTAAAAAACCTTGAAAATAATTTACACACATCCAGAGGACCGCTGGACTCTTCGTTACTGTAAATCATTGTATTAGGTATACCCGTTTTGTTTTTGCGACTATTTATAAAGGACCAAAATTGTTTTATGTCTTTTTTTATTCCATCCTCAACAGACTGCAGGTACTTATCAAAACATTCGGCCGACAGCGCCTTAAACCTTTTGCGATACAATGAAAATTGTTCGTAGTCAGTTATGTTATGATATTTTTTCCATTTAATCCACGCCTTTTCTTTGTTTTTAAAAATATGTATTAAAGGGCGGGAAAACCATATAGGATAATCATTGGATTTTATAGGTCGCTGCGGCACATGCATTTTAACAATTTTATATATCGTCTCATAGAAGAACTGAGTAGCAGAATCTAATGAAATATTATTCAAAATTGAAGTCCAGTCAACAGAATTAATATCACTATTAATATCAGAATACTTTGCCTCAGTAAAACGATATCTAGGTTGAGAAGATCGAGCCATGGGCTTATGTGATAATCCAAAACAAACTAACGTGCTAAAAGGCGGATGATAACTATTGTTCGGAATGAGTAAAATAATAAAAGAAAATAATAAAAATTGAGGATGGCAACACGGCTGTGCAGCCATTGTTAGATCGGTCCGTGTTGGCTTCAGAGTAAATTCTCATACGAGTAGCATTATTTTATTTAAATCATTTTGAGAATAGTTTCTAACATCAGAAGTAGAGTAGTTTCTAATATCAGAAGTGGGATAAAGTCCCTGTTACTGTCCACGTATAAACTTTAAATATTGTGAGGGTTATTACTTTGGTGAAAGAATATGACGCGCCTCGCGTCTTGTTTTTATGTTCAATTTCTTAAACAAAGTTTGTTGTCATATTTACGACATGGACGAATCATTAAAGTGTAGAGTGAGAGTATACAAGTGAAATGTTTTAAGCCAAAAGTTAAATCCTTTTGTTTAATTTTTATTACGTTCTTGAAAAACTATAATGCGCTTTGCATTGATACCTTTGTTTTTATGTTTAATGTCGTAATTAAATTTGCTGTCTTATTTACTTAAATTATTAAATAATTAAATTATTTATTAAATTAAATTTCACAAAAGTGTAAAGTAAAAGCTTAAAATCGAATATTTTGAGCAAAAAGTTAAATCTTTTTGTTTGATTTATATAGAAGTAACCGAAAATACTTTTGTTACTCCTTAGCGTACCCAAATATGTTAACAAATGTTGAAAGAAATATTGGAAAGAGGTGTTAACTAAGTGAGTTGAAAAAAAAAAGCTATGAGGAGTGGTGTGAGGTGTACAAGTGTCATTGTGTTTTTGGCTATTTCTTATTCTGAGAGCTGTTGATTTACTTTTTTGTTTATTATTTCTATTGGTGTTGGTTTTAGTAGTTATAAATCTGTAATTCAACAGTACAACCACTAGTATTATAAGATACTTGTATTATCACAATCTTCTTTAGTACATGGGCATAGTATTTGTAACTACTGAGCTTGTACTCAATAAACACTTCCACGCTGACATTGGCGAATAATTAAAAACCGCCATAAAAAAAAGAAAGAAGAAGAAGAATTAAGTGAGTTATAGTTGCATCCAGTGAAAACTTAACTTGTTCGAGTTTTATTATAATTGATAGTTCATGCGAAATACGATATACCTACGTAATGTGGAGTGATATGAAAGAAAATACGTAGCCCACGAAATAATGTAGCCCATACATTTTAAAGTTCAAATTGTTTAAGCGATGTATCAAATAAAGGATTAACTTTAACGTGCTATGAATTGAAAACATAAATAGCCTGTTTGTATTCTAATGTGTTGATAAGTGTTACAGTTTACTCCAAATGGGCTAATTGGACATGGTCAGGTGCG